TTCTTTTCTTTTCCTACCTTGTTTTACTGTTTCTTCCTCCAGACCAGACTTTGCGCTCCGGGAAGGCGGGGACCTTGTTGGCTGATGCGACCCGAGGCTTGAGACTATACACAGGTAGGTGCTCAGTAAACGTGTAGGTGAATTCTGACTCCTGACTTGGAGACCTGAGTATGGATGGTTTCTCTCCCTGCCCCGCAGCCATCATCTAATGGGATGGAGCGAGGGGGGATCCTGCCCAGAGCTGGCACCCAGGAAGCAGGGCTGGGCCACATATTTACGGAGCCCTGCTGTTTCCAGGTTGGGTGCTGACCCATGGGTGGTAGCCAGGATATGTCCCAGCCCTCAAGGAGACCCATGTCCCACTAAACAATACATGTGATGGCGACATGGGATTTAGGAGCTGGTAAGTGCTACGGGCAAAAGTGGAAGAGGGAAAGGGGGTGTGGTGCCCTGCTGGCCAGGTGGGATGGCATGTAATGGGGTGTCAGGGAGGCCTCAGTGAGAAAGGTGACATGAGCTGAGAACTGAAGAAGGTGAGGGGGAGAGAGAGCTGTGGGACTTCTGGGGGAAGAGCAGTCCAGGCAGAAGGAACAGCAAATGCAAATGTCCTGGGGCAGGACTGTGTCTGGTGTATTGTTGGAACAGTGAGTGAGCAAGGGGAAGAAAAGGAGGTGAGGGCAGGGTGGGGACAGGGGCAGGTTGTGCAGGGCCTTGTGGAGGACTAGGGCTATTATCCCAGGAAGGTGGGAGCGCTGGAGGGCTGTGGGCAGAGAAGGGGCAGGACCTGACTCAGGTGCCCATAGGCATCCCCTGGTGGCTATGGCGGGAGAACAGCCTATTGGTTGGGGATGAGAGTAAACTCAAGGACACCAGGGAGGAGGCTGGTGCAGCAACCCAGGGAGAGAGAAAGACTACCTGGATGGGGCAGTGATGGTGGTACCACGTGGGAGGAACCTGGACATGCACACATTTTCCACGGAGGAGAAATTTTTCATTGGACCAAGGGTGACCAAGTGGAGTAAGGAGGGCACCTGACTCGTGCTCACAGGCGCTCTCTGGTGACTGCTGAGGGGGAGAACGGACTAGGGGTGGGGGCAAGGGAGGGAGCCCGACCAGGATGGAGGCGAGTGCACTGGTCCAGACAGGTGATGGTGGGGGCTGGGCCTGGGGGCAGCCATGGAGGGGGAGAGAACAGGGCAGATCAGGGATAGACTCTGAAGGCAGAAGGGCTCACAGGGGGGTGAGAGCAAGAGGACCCAGCCCCTTAGGCCCAGGCAGCAAGGGCAAACCCCTGCCCCAAGGGCCCTTTTGATAGCCGATAGCCTAGTGTGTCCTGCTGGACCAACAGACACCTCAGTCCACATCCAACATAACTTTGTAAAGAAATTTGTGGGATATAATTTTGCTTTTGAGGTCCCCCTGACCCACTGGGTTGCTTCGTTCCCAGTCACTACGACCACTCCCACTTGGAAAGTCTTTCTGAGACAATTAACATGTTGTGTCCCAACAGTAGCTACAGTAATAAAACAACGCTGAGTGCCCACTGTGAGTACTCTCATGTCACCTCTGGGCCTTGGTTTCCTGTCTGTAAAATAGGACTAATATGAATAGCTGGCAGGTGGGAAAGGCTCCAGGGTTTTTCTCTTCTTGTCTTACTTGGATCACTTACATTTTCTTGGGTTACAATAACTCAGAGATCCCCTGGCTGAGCAGGCCCTGTAGGCTTGGCTCCGCTGGGAAGAGTGTCACAGGGCCATGGTTCTCAGGGATTGCCTGCTGGGGTGGGAACGTGAGGTCCTCTATTGCTCCCCAGCTGAGCTCTCCCCTAGGCTGGGCCTGTGGTCTTGCCATGTCCTCTGCCACATGCCCTTCCCCCTCATGCACATCTGGAAAGTCCTCTTCACCCTCACCTGGGGGCGGGGGGAGCTCTGGCAAAGGTCCTCCACTGTCCTAGGCAGGGGCTGCTAGGGCAGGAGGTGGGGTTCTAGGCAGAGGGGTGGGGGAACTGGATGCTCTGGACAGGGGCCTGTGTGTGGGATGGGGATGATGTCAGCCCCTCACAGCCTAGTAAATGTTTATGAGCAAGGGGGCCTGGGTTTTGGGGCTCCCTGGAGCCAGCAGGCAGCTGCTCCCTCCTGACCCATTCTGGGGGGCCTGGCAGATCTGCTTCTACACTGGCAACCAGCCCACCCGAGGGTTGGGTGGGTGGTGAGCAGTCCCTGGCTGAGTTGTCTAGAGGGGAAACCAAGGCTGGGAGGTAGGAAGTTTGGCTGGCTGGGAACCTTCCCTTCCCACCTGGCATGAGGTTTGGGCTTTAGAGAGAGGTAGTGGGGGAGGCTGAGGAAGGGTGTGCAGGAGAGGGAGGTGCAGGAGGATCTGGTTCTGGCTGCAGTTCTGGGACTAAGTGACCAGGTACAGGCCCTTGGATAGATACCTCCTTGCTCCAGCCCTCAGGACCCTCCATACACTGGGTCTGGGTCCGTAGTACCTACTTTAGAATTTGTCACCCCTGATGACTGAGGCAGGATGAATGGGAAGAGGAAATGAACAGGGAGGCAGGGGCAGAATGTGGACAACACAGAGCAGGGAACCAAGGGGTAGCCATCCAACCAGCTGAGTGTGGTAGGCTCTGCCCCCTGCCGGCCACTGAAGGAACAGACCAGGCTGGTGTAGGAGCAGAGGGGCCTGGTCCCCCAGAGGGTGTGGGAGGGGAGCTTATCCCCAGGATATAGTCGTTTCCCTCCTCACTAAATATCTTATGAGGGACCCTGTTACCCCCTTGTAAGGTGGCAAAACTGAGGGTAGAGCCACAAAATAACCAAGTACTGGAACTAGAAGGCAGGTCTGGAAGCCCAGCACCCTCTCAGGGCTCAGCCAGAAGTCTGGGCCCCACCCCCTCCTAGCCCATGGGCAGGGTGGGGATGTCTCCATCCTTTCTCAGGGAACCCAAGTCCAGGCTCTGGGTGCCTGTGCCTATTCCAGAGAGGGTGTTCTTGGCAGGGGTCCCTCACCATC